GTCCAAGGGCGGGTTGGTTGGGGCTTTGGGCAACCTGGGCTAGTGGAGGGTGTCCCTGCCCATGGCAGGGGGGTTGGAACTAGATGATCTTTAAGTTCCCTTCCAACCCAAACCATTTGATGATTCTGTGATACTATTCTATGATAACAAAGGAGCAGCATCTGGGGAATAGAAAGAAAAGGGGCTGCAAGGGAAGGTGGGTGTGTAAGGTAAATGTCCCTGGGTGCTGCCTGTTCACTTATGTAACCTTAATAGTTGTTGAAGTCCAGGGTTGTTTTTTTTCTTTTTTTTTTTTTTTACATGGATAAATAAATTATGAGTAATTAAAAAAAAATCAAAATAACATTCAATCTTATTAATTTATGGCTTTCATAATGTGAATGTTCTAGAAATGGGATGCTAGGCTTCCGAAGAGTTGTGGGTCCATTTTCCAGTGCAGATGTATGTGCAGCCTTTGGCATCTGTACATGCATTTCTCTGAATGCAGTCACCTACTTTTCAAATCCACATTTTTTGGCTGCATGCCTGTCTTGCGGGCTCACAAACTCACCTACCTTTTGTTGAACTTGTCATCTGGTGAAAAAAGCAGTTCATTTTCAGAGCAGTGTAAGGAAGAGCATACTGCTCCAGGACATGCTTCCGAGTGAAAAGCTGTCATCACGCTTCCTGCAATCAGTGCATTCGTTAAAGAACTGCCCTAACTTTGTTCTCCATTTCAGGCTCATTCGTGTTTGCTGTGACTGTCACCGATGCAGATGCTGGCTCCAATGCCGAGCTCCATTATTCTCTCGTGGGGAAAAACTCCGAGAAATTCCACATTGATCCAGCGAGAGGGGCGATACTGGCTGCGAACCCACTGGCAGGAGAGTCTGAAGTCACCATTTCAGTTCATGTGAGGGATGGCGGCCGGTACCCCAAGACAGACTCTACAACTGTCACCGTGAGGTTTGTGAACAGAGCAGAATTTCCTCGTGTTCAGGCGGATCAGGAGACCTTCACGTTTCCTGAAAACCAAGCAGTCGGTACGCTTGTCACCACTGTCTCTGGATCTTCAGCCAGAGGAGGCTCCTTGTCTTACTATATTGCCAGCGGCAACCTGGGCAGCACCTTCCTGGTTGACCAGGTGACAGGACAGCTTTCTGTCGGACGGGCTTTAGATTTTGAAGCCATACAGAAATACGTGGTTTGGATCGAGGCAAGAGATACGGGCTTTCCTCCCTTTTCCTCATATAAGAAACTGGAAGTAACGGTGATAGATGTCAATGATAACGCGCCAGAGTTTGAGCAAGATCCGTTCATTGCAGAAATAGTGGAGAACCTGTCCCCGCGGAAGATACTGACGGTGGCTGCTGTCGACAGGGACAGTGGTCTGAACGGACAGCTAAGTTATGAAATAATTGAGGGTAATTCGGAAAATAGTTTCAGTATCAATCGAGCCACTGGTGAGATCAGAAGTGTCAGGCCTTTGGACAGGGAGAAATTGTCTCAATACACACTAACCATAAAAGCTTCAGATAAAGGCACCCCACTCCAGAGCACGACTGTCAAAGTTATCATTAATATTTTAGATGAAAATGACAATGCTCCAAGGTTTTCCCAGATATTCAGTGCATCCGTGCCTGAAAATGCACCTCTGGGTTTTACAGTAACCCGAGTCACAACATCAGATGAAGACATTGGGGTGAATGCAGTCAGCAGGTACTCCATAAGGGATACGAGTCTCCCGTTTACCATAAATCCCAGCACTGGGGACATCACCATCAGCAGACCGCTCAACAGGGAGGACACAGACCGCTACAGAATCAGGGTCTCTGCGCATGACTCCGGGTGGACGGTGAGCACAGATGTCACAATATTTGTCACGGATGTCAATGACAACGCCCCACGATTTACAAAGCCATCCTATTACCTGGAGTGTCCTGAGCTTCCTGGGATCGGGTTGAAGGTCACCCAGGTTTCCGCCACCGATCCTGATGAAGGTTCGAATGGTCAAGTCTTCTATTTCATAAAATCCCAGTCCGAGTTCTTCCGGATTAATGCAACCACGGGGGAAATTTTCAACAAGCAGTATTTAAGGTACCAAAACTCCAGTGGTTCAAGCAATGTCAACATTAACAGGCATAGCTTCATCGTTACTTCTTCAGACCGAGGCAGTCCTCCGTTAATGAGTGAGACAACTGTCACCATTAACATAGTAGACAGCAATGACAATGCACCACTGTTCCTCGCTCGTAAATATTTTACTCCTGTTACTAAGAACGTGAGGGTTGGCACAAACTTAATTAAAGTTACAGCAGTGGATGACAAAGACTTTGGCTTGAATTCCGAAGTGGAGTACTTTATCTCTGATGAAAGCAAAACTAATAAATTCAAACTGGACAGGAGTACAGGCTGGATTTCTGTGTCATCTTCACTAATGGCTGATTTGAACAAAAACTTTCTGTTTAAAGTGAAAGCAAAGGATAAAGGTAATCCTCCACTCTCATCCGAGGTAGCTGTTGAAATAGTAGTAACAGAGGAAAATTACCATACACCCGAGTTTTCTCAAAGCCGTATGAGCGTTACTATTCCAGAGAGTCACTCTGTTGGAACAGTGGTCAGGACGGTTTCAGCCCGAGACAGAGATGCTGCTATGAACGGATTAATCAGATATAATATTTCCTCTGGAAATGAGGCTGGCATCTTTGCTATTAATACAACTACTGGTACGCTGACACTATCAAAACCACTTGATTTTGAGTCACGCCAAAAGCATGAGCTAGTTGTTACTGCCACAGATGGAGGATGGGTGTCCAGAACAGGCTACTGCAGTGTCACTGTTAACGTCATTGATGTGAATGATAATTCTCCGGCATTCAGCCCTGAGGACTACTTTCCCAATGTGTTAGAAAATGCCCCCAGTGGAACAACTGTTATTCGTTTAAATGCCACTGATGCTGACTCTGGACCTAACGCTGTGATTGCGTATGCTATTCAGTCCTCGGATAGTGACCTCTTTGTCATTGACCCCAACACAGGAACGATTACCACCCAGGGATTTTTAGATTATGAAACAAAGCAAAGTTACCATTTAACGGTAAAGGCTTTTAATGTTCCAGATGAAGAGAGGTGCAGCTTTGCTAGTGTCAACATCCAGTTAGTAGGGACAAATGAATACGTGCCCCGTTTTGTGTCCAAGCTTTATTATTTTGAGGTTTCTGAGGCAGCCTTGAAAGGTACTGTTGTAGGTGAAGTTTTTGCAAGTGATCGTGATATGGGAACTGATGGAGAAGTCCACTACCTTATCTTTGGCAACAGCAGAAAGAAAGGCTTCCAGATAGATGAGAAAAGTGGCCAGATCTACGTTTCAGGACCTCTTGACAGAGAAAAGGAAGAACGAATCTCTCTGAAAATCCTCGCAAAAAATTTTGGGAGCATTCGTGGTGCAGATATAGACGAAGTAACTGTTAATATCACTATACTGGATGCCAACGATCCTCCTGTTTTTACCTTAGGAACCTACAATGTACGAATCAGCGAGGGTGTTCCTCCAGGCACCCACGTCACGTTCGTGAGTGCCTTTGATTCAGATTCTGTCCCTAGCTGGAGCAGGTTTTCCTATTTCATTGGGTCTGGCAACAACAACAGCGCCTTTTCCATCAACCCGCAGACAGGACAGGTGACCGTCACTGCAGAGCTGGACCGAGAAACGTTGCCTGTGTACAACCTGTCTATGCTGGCCATTGATTCGGGAACACCATCTGCTACAGGAAGTGCTTCTTTATTGGTAACTTTGGAAGATATCAATGACAATGGCCCTACCTTGTCCACCAGCCAAGGAGAAGTCATGGAGAATAATCGTGCAGGAACTCTTGTGATGACACTTCAATCATCAGATCCTGATCTCCCTCCAAACCAAGGTCCCTTTACATATTACTTGCTCAGCACTGGCCCCGCAACCAGCTACTTCAGCCTTAGCACTGCTGGCGTGCTGACAACGACGAGAGAGATTGACAGGGAGCAAATCAGCGATTTCTACCTGTCAGTGATTACAAGAGACTCTGGCGTTCCTCAGATGTCTTCCACAGGAACTGTGCAGATCAAGGTAATAGACCAAAACGACAACCCGTCTCAGCCCAGAACGGTAGAAATCTTTGTTCACTATTATGGCAACCTCTTCCCAGGTGGAATTTTGGGCAACGTAAAGCCACAGGATCCAGACGAACTAGACAGCTTCCAGTGCTCCCTCACATCAGGAGTCACCAGCCTCTTCAGCATTCCCGGGGGCACCTGCGAGCTGCTCTCGCAGGCGAGATCCACGGATGGCACGTTTGACCTGGCCGTCCTCAGCAACGATGGGTTGCATGGTGCCGTCACCAGCAGCGTCCGGATTTTCTTCGCAGGCTTCAGCAACGCCACCATTGACAACAGCATCCTCCTCCGCCTGAGCGCCCACAGCGTGCGGGATTTCCTGACGAATCACTATCTCCACTTCTTGCGCATCGCCAGCTCCCAGCTGACAGGTCTGGGCACCGCCGTGCAGCTCTACGGGCTGTACGAGGAGAGCAACCACACCTTCCTAATGGCGGCCATCAAACGCGGCAACAACCAGTACGTGAATCCCAGCGGCGTGGCCACCTTCTTCGAGAGCATCAAAGATGTCCTCTTCCGCCAGAGTGGGGTGCGGATCGAGGCTGTGGACCACGACTGGTGCCTGCAGAGCCCCTGCCAGAACGGAGGGAGCTGCCTGAGGAGGTTGGCGGTGAGCCCAGCTCTGAAGAGCCACGAGAGCGTCCCAGTCATCATCGTGGCCAACGAGCCCCTCCGGCCCTTCGTGTGTAGGTGCATGCCGGGGTACGATGGGAGTCTGTGTGAGACGGACATCGACGAATGCCTCCCTTCCCCCTGCCACAACGACGGGACTTGCCACAACTTGGTGGGGGGCTTCTCGTGCAGTTGCCCGGAGGGCTTCACTGGCATGGCCTGCGAGAGGGACGTCAACGAGTGCCTTTCCAACCCCTGCAAAAACGGTGCCGCCTGCCAGAACTTCCCGGGAAGCTTCAACTGCGTTTGTAAAACTGGGTATACAGGTACGCTTTTACTTCTCTGTATCTTACAGTCCAGAAGAGATGGAAAGAGGGCAGAAACGTACCTTTTTAGCACAAGATTGTCTGAATATGACAATCTCCGCTAGGTGAAGAGGTCACGCAAAATGAGGTATTTGTAGTTATGAAAGCTCGGAAGACCAGGTGCCCACGGTATTATTTTATTTTAGCTCTGTCCTCAGGCAAATCTCACTTACCTGATTTGCATTAGAACAGACGGATTTTTGCAAAAGCTATTTTAATTTCTTAAATATGTAGAAACCATTTCCAACACTTAAGTATGATTTTTCTGTTCTTGTTATTGTTATGCATATTGTGGTAGCATTTCAAGTCTGCTAGGAGTGTGCCAAGCAAGAAAATCAGCCTCTGCCCCAAATTGCTTACAGTCATACAAGACAGAAAACAGATGAAGGATATGGGAAAAAACAGAATTCAGGCAAAATGATCAAGCATGTCTGTTCTGTATTTTGTCCCTTTTTCATTTATTTTTTTTCATTAACAACAAAAATGTCTGCCACGTTCCTACCTCTTCTGAGTATTTTCTTTCTAATATTTATTACACATTCAAACATAGCAGCATTTTATCCCTAGAAAAGCAGGTTGATGTTTGCTTCTGTCATGAGTATGATATTTAAGGTCTGATCCACTTTAACCATTGCTTATGGCTGCTTTTTACAGACATCATAAAAACATCTAACCAGAGAAGATTAGGTAAGGCTTTCATTACCTTTTCGAAGGAGTATTTCTGTATCGCAGATGCCCCGGGGCACCCAGGTCGGCACAGCCATGCTTGTTCTCTGCGGGTACTCGGGCTTGCCACCACTGCCACCAAAACTCACTTGCAACCAGTTGAGTGATCATTATGCTTTTTTTTAATTTATTTTTTTCTTAAACCAGATTAGTAGAGGAGATGTCATACACTTTATTGCAAAGGAGAAGGTTAATCGATTTCAAAACAAAGGTTGAACTTTCATTTAAAGCACGGCTACAGGAGTGGATACACATGCAGTGTGAAAGATCTGTTGACACAAAGGACACTGATGGGATCTTTTGTGAACCTCACAAATGTACTACTTAGCCTTAAGTCAGCAGCAATTATTATTCATTGACAAGCGGTTCTAATTAAGTTAGCAGTCTAGGATTTTATTTCATGTTGTGTTAGTACATCAAATTATTTTGCAAACAGCATGGCAAAATAATTCTAGGGCATCTATCCCCTGTAACTCTTTAGGTCATTAGCACCAGAGATTACATGGGCATATGTTTGATGTTGCAATGAAGCAAAACACTTCATTAACTCTAGCAGCATACTGTAGCATATGCCTCTAGCCTATAATTTGAAACATTAAAGAAACGTCCAGCTAATTTTTTTCTGGTATTAAAGTGCATCTCTTAATGTTCAACCCTTATGTCAGCTAAAAATAAAGCTCTAGATGTGACAAGCTCAAAAAAAGAATGTTTTAACTAAGAAAATGTGATGGGAGACACTTACAGTTTGAAGTGTTGGATTTCTTTCACGTTATGAATTAAATGTGGCATCTGATATGAGCTTTCTTAAACTCCTTGTCAACACAAATAACTTTAAGATAGACTATCACTGAGGCAGACATTTCTATTTGGGAGTCAGATCTTTTTACATCGGATGGCCATTGCAGAATCCAGAATTGTTTAAGTGTCTGGAGATTGATTGATCAAGACGAAAACAAATGGCACCAAAGTATGTAATTAAAACCCAAAATATCTTCAGAGATGAATATCGGCAGAGCTTATTAGATAAGATCACCATTAATATTCAGTATATTTAGACATTTTATGTCTGCAAAAGCATATTTGAAATTCTGCAAATTTAATATTCAATAGGTTCTGCAAACAAATGTCAGAATACAGATTGTTTGAGAATGCTTGACATAGAGACTATTATGTCATTATTATAACTGCCAACAGAAAGAGAACACAGCTGCTTGGGCGTTTAATCCTGATTCACGTATGATTAAAGATAGCCACAGTGAATATAAAAATAAAGCCTGAAACTGTTTCTTTATGAATATAAACTTTGAGTGCCTCAGAAAAAAAAACAAACAAAAAACCCCATCCAAAATAGTGGATTTCTAATTCAGTTTACCATGCACATAGCTTTGCTGCTTCTCTTGGAATGAAAATACAGTCTCATAATTGAATTTGCATGCTTGTAAAAAAATAATATTTACACGGTACTGCATACAAGTAGAAATTAGTATTTTCTGAGACAGGCTCTCCGTTCACCGTAAATTAGAGTACATGAGCTGTAGACCTCTATAATGGCCTACCTGAAAACTGAGTCTTACTTTTCCTTGATTTATTATGTTTTGTCAGCTGCATTTCACTTCATCATACTGCAAAGGTAATGTAGTTCTTTTCACTGGATAGGATTATAAAGCCTGATTACCTCAGAGCAACATTAGGGTTTAAACAATCTGTTATAATTACATCTCTTAATGATGATCGGGTTTTGTTTTTAAAATAATCACTTTCTGGAGGGAATATACTTTGTGATTTACAGTAGTTGTCTGCCCTTCCTTTGAACCCTTTATTTCCTGTTTTCCAGGACTCATTAAGATGAAGGAATGTAGGTTTGTGAAATTGTTTCAAATGCAAGATTAAAATAGTAGAACAACCACTTTAAAAGGCGGACACAGAGACCCACAAAAAGTCAAACTCTCAAATCAGCTGAAATCTAACCCAAGAGCATTCAGCTGGTATCTGTTCCTGTTACATTTTTCAATTTAAAAAAAAAAAATCCTCCGTAAGTTAGATTTTTGCATAAGCCCCTGCATGAGATATCATCAGGTTGCAGTGATGAATGATAAGTGCCGAAAGCTGTCTCTTATCAATTATCCAGCGTTATCCTCATTTTCATGATCTTCAGAGAAAGGTCTTTCTGCCACAAAATGAATACCCTGAATCTTTTGGTATTTCAGCTGAGACGAGATCTATAAACTCAACTAACTGCAGCGTTCCCCTGACGTCCCCAACATTGTTACTGGGGACGGCTCTGGTTTGAGATCACCTTGGTTCTCAAAACATTGGCTGAGGGGTTTCCTTCCCCTCGCTGGATTTGATACCCTCAAACACTAATCAAACACTAATTCTTCATGCTGTCTGAATAAAATTACTCCCCAGCTGAGATGTGCGTAGTAGTCCGAATGTGTGAAAAAGCTTCTTGAAAATTGACTTGCTTACGCCATGGAAACACATTCATCTCATCATTTTTTGAGGGACATTACTTAAATGGGATAAAGGTTTATCAGAACATTACTCTTAAATTCCTGTTGTAAACCTTAAATCAGCAGACCATTGTGGAAAATGACCTCTGAAAACCAAAACTGCTCTAGTTTTGTGAGGTTAAAATCATTGGCTTTATCTTTTTGGAAAGCAGTAAAACTGAGGACTTGGGCTCAGGTGAGGATGGTTTTATGCATAGTGGCAAACAGTTTCTTATCCTTTTCAATCCAGTAAAGTTCCTTGAATGATTTATCTGTGCAAGAGAGAATTTCAAAATAGCTAGTACTTGTGCAAATTCTCTACTCAAGAAAAACAGTCCTCTCTAAAACTTTTTTTTTCTTTTTTTTTCTCTGCACAAAAAATAAATCTAAATATAAGAACAGTATCTTGGGCAGAACAGCAAAACCAATGGGTTTTCAAGCTATGTGGTAGGACAACCTCTTGCCATCTTGGGTGGCTCTACTTGCTAGAAGAATAAGGTGTTAAAAGAAAAAAGTCAAAGTTTAGCAGAAGTTGCAGGACCAAGAACAACGTAACTGGTATCACAGCAACGTATCTGGAGGAATCTCCACAGTGAAGAAAAGACAAACAAGAGAAAAACTCTGCTGGGAAAAGCCCTGAGCAGCCGGATCTAACTTTGAAGGTTGCCTTGCTTTGAATGGGGGTTGGACATCATGACCTCCAAGGTCCCTCCAGCCTAACTTTTTCCATCCGCTTCTGCCTATCAAATCTGGGCAATAACAACAGAGGGAAAAAGTAGGAGCACAGGAGGAACGCGGCTTAGATGAAAAGGGAAAAGTAAGAAGGTGCAGTCTGAACACTGGTGGACCATCCAAAAACCAGGAGTTAATAGAAGCTCTCCAGATTTCGGCAGAGTAGCCGTTGCAGGCTGTCAGTAATAGCTTGAAATGCAGAGACCTTTCCTTAGAGGGTGGACGAGGAATGCAGGAGAGTTTCTGTCTCAGAGGAGTCTAAGGAGAGACTGACCAAAGATCTGAAGGTAGCAGGAAATTTGGATGAATCGAAGTTCAGGATCCTGCAGAAAAGAGGGAATGAAGCCTTGTAGCAGCAACTGTCTTCAGAAGCAGCTAATGTAAGATCATTGGTAGGTAAGGTTGCCTGGACGGATACACGTAGGAGAAGAAATTCAGGAGAGTTGGAATCTTTTAGAAGAAAAAGTATAACTAAAAATCATCTTAAAGCAGGGGAAAAAAAAAAAAGATGTCTTTAAGATTTTTAAGTGGTTATACCAGGATTTTTTTTTTAGTTGAAAATTAGTTATATACTACATAAAAATAACTTTCTGTTCTTTTTTCATGACATAATATTAAACTGTTTACCTACTTCTTTATTTATCAGTTTCTATTTTATGACTCTTAGCATCCATTTACCAGGTTTTTCTAATGATCTTGCTTTGTCAAAGTAATTTATTTCAAATCCTTATACAGAACAGCCATAATGATAAACTAGAATAGTATTCTCAAGTTATACTTTTGTCCTGCTGATATCTGGCTAAAGGACTCTTGCTTTCTGGAGTATGCATGCTTAACATGCATTTAAAGAGGAAAAATAAGCTTCATAGACATCTTTTGTTGGATCTTTATTCCAAATGTAAATAGATATATTTTTCCCAGGTCTTTAGCACTTCAGTGAATGGCAAAAAATTTCTTCTTCATTTTAAATAAATATTAGTTTTAATAGCTCTGATGAATTGTTAAATCACAGTATTTGTCTTCTCCTGTGTCAAAATAGTTGGAATAAATGCAAACACACTTTTATTAGTTTCATGAATTATTCAAACAATTGTTAAATATGAAGAAGATGTTGTTATTCGCTGGTTAAAATATGTGCAGCTAAAATAAACATCCATATTCTGTTGCTGACTCAGCAGATACGCCATCTTTAATGTTAGCTGAGAAAGACAAGACTATTTAGTTAGACTGAATCGCAAAAAACTGAGTAAGCCTTATTAGCTACACTTGAGTTTTGTGAAAACTAAGAAACCTTATTTAGCTATTTTAATCATCACTGCCTCACTCTTGCTATGTGTTCTCCTCGGTAAGTCAAAGATCTGTGCTATGTACCATATTTTTAACATAAAGAAAACAGCAAAATCTAACATAAAGTTATCTCATCCTTCAGTCATGCCCATTAGAGAATAAAATATAAATAAATACCCCCAAAGCATAATTAGATTCAGACACTGGAAATGTTTCCTGGATTTATGGTGAATCTACAAGTTACGTATTAACCACAGGAATCCTCCAGTGCTCTGTTTCCATCCTGCTTGCAGTTACACATGGAGGACTGCTGCTCACACAGAAGAACTGCCTGCAAATTTCTTTAGGTTAAACAGAAAAGTAGAGGGGGAAAAAAAAAATGGGTTTTTTTTAATTAGGTGACGGAAGTTTTGATATTCTGAAAAAAGCAGAGTTAATATAGCACAGTCCTGATTTTCTGCAGTTTTAGTGACCAGCAGTCCCTAAGGACTGCACATTGTGCACTGCTGTCGTGTGAGATGTAAGAATTGTAAGATGTAGGTGACATATATATATATAGTATTTATATGGTGTGAGGAATAAAATAATTCATTAGTGGTGCAGTAAGAAGCATTAAGGCAGTCTTAGCCTTTGTTATGTGTATATGTCCTGGTCTAGATGAAGTTGAAGGAGAGGTC